TTTAAATTAGAAAGTTTTTTCTTCATAGATTTAGAAATTATTTTTTATTATTTTAGTTTTTTCATTCAACTAAAATATTTAAATTTCTTTTCTTTTTCTTTATTGATTGTTATGTTTCAATAACAAAGGATCTAAATATAAAATGTTAGTTTCTATTTTAAATCTTTCAAAATTTTTTGGTCTCCTTAAAATGAAATCTTATTTTTGATTGGTAGAAATAGTTTTTTTTTTATTAGAGTTTATTACAAATAATTGGTATAATATATAAATTTTAAATGGCTAATTACATTCTGTGATTGCTGTGTTGCAGTTTCGAGAGAACTTGCACTCAAAAATAATCTAAAATACACTTTTGGAAGTACAATTAATTATTTAACCTTGTTAGTTAGTTATAATTTTTGTTATGAAATTAAAATTATAATTTATCATAAGTCATTGGTATGTAGTTAAAATATTTTTTGCAAAGGCCGTCTACTTCATTTTAATAAATATTTATATATATTGAATGTACATTAAAAGCTACAAAATCTTCCCTAAAACATTTAAAAAGCTACCAGGAACGAGCATAATTTTTCTTGTCAGTTAGCTTTAAAATAAAAAGTTTTTTCTTCATACATTTATAATTTTTATTATTTTAGTTTTTTTAAATTTTTGACTGGTTTGAAGGCAAGTATTTTAAGATGTTTTAATAAATAACATAAAAATGAATGAAAATTTAATTTAATTTTTAACTTAAAAGTTCATTACAAAACAATAATATTTCTTATTAAATTTATATAATGAATAAATGAGTAATGTTTACTTATATAAATTTAAACGGGGTTGATGTTTCACTATCAACTTCCATTGGTTCTGAAACTCCTTGTGATGAGGATTCAGCTTGATTCAATCCTAGACAAACAATACAAATATTATACTATAATATTTCTGAAAATTCAAAATATATTATTACCAATACATACGAAAAATGTACATATTTAAAATAATTATTTTGTAAAATTATTAGAGAGTTGTTATTTCCAAGGAATCTTTTTTAATTTCATTATGAAATTATTATAACATAACATTTGTGACTAAAATATTTAAATGCAAATTATTAAATTTAAAGCTCATAATATGCTGNTTTAAATGCAAATTATTAAATTTAAAGCTCATAATATGCTAACATCATTTGTTACACTATATTAGTGGGTATTTGTCCCTTGAAAATTTAATTTTACATATAAATAAATTTACATTATTAGTAATAGTATTAGCATATAAATATGTAATGTTAAATTGATGAAAAAATATTTTACCTTGCGCAAAAAAGTCGATTAGTAATGGCGGGTTTCTACGATTTTCTGATGCAACTCTTAATTCTTCATTAATGATTGCTATTATTACAAATCAATGAATAGTCAAAATTATATTAGTTAAAATTACTTATGAGCTCAAAACAATTATATAATTGTTTTGGCTCCGATGTAAAACTAAGAAGGTATAAATTTTACTATGATGTGTATTTAGTACTTATACATTAGGCGTTTGGTGATCTTTCAAAAAAACAAGTAAATGTTCGCAGATAAATTTTATATGTACACGTTTAATTCATTAGTATCGCGTATATTTTAAACACGATTTTCTCATTACCAACTGATCTTGAGTTTTTTAATTTCTCTTTTGTAAAAGAGCTGTGATGGTGTCACGTTACCATTATTGTGAGAATTATTTTAATAAAATACAGACAGCACATCCGCTGCCTGAGACTGATGAATTAACAAATAATATTTATTGCCAATTTGGCAATAGTTCTAATTATTATAAAAACCCAATAGACCTGACCATCGTCGTCAGTCGACTCCAGTGCCTTGTGTCATTCATCTGTCTCAGTACTTGGTTGTCGCCGTCCGGCTTACTGTTTAAAGTAAAGTCTTTGTTTATTCCTTTTCAAATCTATATACTCTTTTCCTCGACATTTCAGAGTACTTGGGGCTTGCACTTCGTCTGCACCACATACTTTGGGCTCCTTTTGCGTACACCTGGTATTTGTGTCTTGCCCTTCGTCTGCACCTCATACCNTTGTGTCTTGCACTTCGTCTGCACCTCATACCTAGGTGTTACTCTTATTCTCCCTTCCTATAACAACAGCCTTTCGACACCCACAGCTAACCCGGAGTGTCAGCCGAGCACGGTGACTGCTGTACGACAACACGCACGTGAATACCTAAACAGCAGGCACCACTTCCTCATATTCATCTTCGTACACATAGTTACACATTTACAAACTTTACCTTTTTTCATTTTCACTGTGTTACGACAGAGCTCTTTTTTCTTTACTTATTCTAAAAGTGTTATTATGCTGTACGAATAAATTATATTAATATACCAAAAACTAGAGAGAGTAAAGGTTAGTTGTTATTCAACTCTTGACGAATTCTATATTATCTTTAAACTTTGTTTCTCTTTATCTAGCAATTATCAATCTATATAACTTTGTCGTTTTTTAAATACATAATATGTAAATATTATGTAAAATATGAAAAAAAATATGTAAAGTATTTTATGATATAAAATAAGTTCTCTAGACACACATTATTTCAAAAATTGAAATACACACATTGCACGAAATAAGTTCTTTAAAATAAACTATTAATACTCACCAATTACATTTCTTGTATGAAATCATTTCAAATTTTTTTTTAATTCAATATCTTAGCTTTTATAGTAACTAACATGAATTAGTTATTTAAATGAATTTTATTTCATTGATGAGTATAAAGAAAAATTGACCCAGTTCAATATTTAACAAGAAATTTAAATTGGTCAAAATATGAAAAATCCATTTTATTAATCACGTATTTAAGAAGTCCTTGACATATTTTAAAAACTTTAAGATAAAATGTCGATTATTTTTGATGAAGATTGCAATTTTGACGTACAAATTTAAATTAAATTTTTTTTTTTTAATAACCTAAAACTACAACAGTAAGTTAACAAAAAAAATATTTTCAATATTCAATTCTTAAAATAAAGTCGAATAATTAAGAAAAAATAATTTAATAATTTTTATCATATAATCTAGATGTTTTTGAAGCTTTTGTGAAGCTTCACCATTTTATCTAACATATTATTGATAGCAAAACCAATAGTGTAAAAAGTATGTAAAATAGTCCTGCTTTCCCTACTATATATTATAGTTTTAAAAAAATTATTTTACAATAAAACGATAGTTTAATCACAAGAAAATAACATTATTAATAAATACACAAAGGAATATAAAAATCCTAATTTCAAGTCTTAAAATTGATTCAATAATGCGGTCGATAAATTTTGATTCAGTTTACTACTATACTTATATTTGTAAAAAAATTAAAATTAACAAATTTAATTTAATTTTAGCTTCGATGCGAAACTGAGAAGGTATTAATTTTACTATGATGCGTTTTTATGTTATTTTATTATTATTTTTTTTTTACTTGTTTGTTACCACTTTTTCTCAGCTCTCGTCGAACCGATTTTTCTTTCAACGATACGTCAAAAGTTCACAAATTGTATCTAATCAAAGACATTATTCTGAAAAATAGAAAAAAATTCCTGCGTTCCACGTAAATGGGAGAAATCTTTAAAAAAATTACAAATTTAGAAATCGCTAATTTTCAATTTTTTTTTATTTAGAACTGTCATAACTTTTTTAAAAATAGATGAATAAAAACATTTTTGTTAAATAGATAAATTACATATAAATCAATCATTTGGTATATTTTTTTTAAATCTGACCCTTTACTTGCTCATAGGAATGAATTTAAAATAACAACTTTTCCACAAAAATTTAACTTTTGAAAGTGTTCCGGAAATACTGACACATTTATATATATATATATATATCTTAAATTCAAACTTATATAATATACTTTAATATGAAAAAAAAAGTTTCGAACTTTATATTGTATTTATAGTGTAAAAAGCTATCGTATTTAAAAATATGCTATTTTTGTGTTAAAATTCTCGATTTTGTATTTTATTTTATTTTAAAATAACTTACAAAAGTTTTGAGTTAGAAAAAAAGTTTTAACTAATTTGATCTTTATCTCATTTAGATTCAATAACTTCGAAGTAATTTTTTATTCATATTAAAATTATTTTAATGTGTGATTTTTTTTGGCTCTCATTTATGTTCTTAGATCTCGCTTTTGAAGTTGAGCTGAAAGTTATGGTAACAAATTTAACTTTTTTTTATAAACTTTCAAAAAATCAACTTTAAAAGACTAAAAAAATTGATAGGATATTTTGTTTTTTTTACATTTATTTCATTCATCTGTATTTGTCCCACAACTATGACACATCCCATAGTGTGCCACGACCTCAGTATGCTACCTTTTTTCTTATTAATCTTAAATAATCAAATACATACTTTAAACGTAGTCTAAGAAAGAAATTATTACTAAAAAAAAAAAAAAAAATTTAGCAAAATTATAATTATATATGGCGGACAAGTCCGAGAGTCTCCTCTCGTCGTAGCAACATCTGTGCATGTTGGACGACTCGGGAAGATTCTTGAGTGGCTGCTAGTCACCCGACTCGAGCACCACATGGCCGACGTCGGTAGACTGTCCGAGGGCCAGTTTGATTTCAGGGGGAGACTCTCTTTAAGTATTTGGCCTTTAGGGCCGAGGATTTTTGAGTGTCGGTAAACCTGGAAATACGAAACGGGTTTCAGTAGACAGGTGGGTGTACAAAAACCATCTTAGTTTGTCCGATCTATCATCGACTCGACGCATAAATGAAAGTGACACCAACTTACTTTATTATCTAGNGACTCGACGCATAAATGAAAGTGACACCAACTTACTTTATTATCTAGTTTCATTTTCGTTATTATATGCTCAGTGTTTCTTTTTTTTTTATAACATAAAAATAATATTGTGGAATTATTTAAATAAACGGTTTTACGTTTCAACACAAATTTTAGTGTACTACTTTTTTATATTATTATTATTACCGATCCAATTGCGTGTCAGTTATTAATTTTAATGAAATTATATATAAGTGAAATATTCGTTTAATTTTCTTAATTTTCAACTTATTTTAAATTGTGTTTAAATTTTTCAGATCGTTTAAGTGATCAAAAGATAATTATAGAGTAACAACTAAATCAATAATGCCAAATATTAAACTACGATAATACAAAACCACTTTATGTAATCAACACCAATGAAACATAATATATAAATACTTTATGGTTTGTCCAAATTATAAATTAGTTAGAATAGTACTATAACAATAACCAAGGACGTATTTAGGAGTTAGTGAGTAGATACCAACGCTCCGGACAACAAATTTTTTTTGTAATTAAAAGGTGGCAGCATTTTTTTTGTTACCATAATATATAAAATATATTTCTAACAATAACACTAATATGCAAAATTTATTAAAATTCATTGTTAGCAAATCAAATATATACCTGAATATAAAAATTGTGTTGCATATGATGTAGCCATATTTTGAGACGGAAAATCAATTTTAAAACCAAGTTCAATAAATTTGTTAACCAATATGTGCTTAATTTGATCATGCAACCTTTCACTTAAGTAATCAAATAAATACAGTGTTTCGCCTTTATTAGTTATAGTTTTATGTTCATCATTCAATTCTTTCAATATCACATCCAAATCATAAGGAATATAATTACAATGTTTATTCATATGACCAATTATAGACTGATTTCCGTTAAAATAATTAAATAAATGTTTTAACATATTTTCTGAATTATTCTCTGAGAGGAAACATGTTTTTAAAGAGTCATATTTTTTTTGTAAAGTAGAAAACAAATGATAGTATATAAAGTCAGTGTTACTTTTTTCATTCGATGGATAATTGTGCATTGTGTCTAAAGCTCGTAACGCTCCTTGCAATATTCCAAATAATGAATTGATTTCATATATTAATTTTATTAACTTATTCGTGCAGTCATAAACTAAAAGGTTGGGATATTTTCTGTCGTATAACATTTGACAATGAGTTCTAAATGATTCACATATAAAATGAAAAGTCTTCAAATCTTTAACATACGAACATCCAAGTATAAGAGTAGCAAAACGTACTTTATTATCAAAATTTTTGTAGGCGATTGTCCCTTCAAGGGACTCATTTATAGTGTGATCTTTACCGTAAAAAGTAACACTTACCACGTCATTCAAATTTGTCCATCCATTATATGAGAAAAGGTTTTTTAACGCATTTTTATAGATGCTATAATTTGTCTTTGCTTTAGAAAACTCCACAATACAAATTAAAAATAAACACAAACAAATAAATTGTAACAGTAACATTTTTACAGTTACGATTTTTTAATCAGTAAAATATTAATTTGACTAAAAATTTTGTAAAACGATAAATTGAAAAATCAAAAATTTAAAAAGCAATATCATAAGTTTATTATATGTTTAAGTCTTATTATTTATTTTACCTATTAGATCATCACAAGATAAATAATTATATTAATAGATGATTTATTAAATTCTCGGTCATGATATATAATAGAATACATCTGTAAATTACTTTGATTATGTCAATACAAAATTCAAATTTTCATATTTTAGTAACTTTTTTATAGTTTTTTATTTTAATTTTACTATCATAAGCTTTATTTTCTGTGATAATTTTTTTTTAATTTATGTAAATTAAAGTAAATTTAGCTTTTTTGATGTAATTTTTGTATATTAATAATTTAGGTATTAGAAATTAAGATAAATTTATAATAAAAATTGATTTCTTGTAGTTAATATTATTTAAAATTAAAAATATAAAAAAATTTAACTCAAAGACATAAAAATTACTACAAATTGTGGGCACGTGATTTGTTAACAATGTTAGTATTATAAATACTAAACACATGTTGACTATTTTAAATTATTATTTTAAATTTTAAATAAGATAAATTTCTCAACATTTACTCTTAAGTATTATAATAGAAATATTAGCATTTGTTAGTTGTATTAATTCAAAATAAAAGTAAAGAAATAGGTTTTTGGGGTAAATTAGCATACGTTGATGGTTTCATTTTGGGTCACTGCTTGTTTTTTTAAAATATGATATTTATATCTCTTTTGGGATCGTAGAATCCGAGGTTTTAGAAAAATAGAGATACTTAGATATTAAGAAACAAATGTAAATCTTCTTTATTGAAGAATAAAGACTAATTAATTACTAAGCACCTTTAATAGAACACTGAGGCAACAGGGCGGTAATCTTTGCTTTATCATTCTTTACTCAGATTTTTAATTCTAACAATTGAGATAAATCAAATTGGCTTACTTTGTATTTGAATTAATACTCGTTGATTATTCGTAGAAATGTCAATTTCAATATATCGCTTAAGTACACTAATATTCACACTGATAAAGATATCAGGAATATATTTTATATTAAAATGTTTAACACTTATGACGGATTTATAATAAGCACAAAAATATATTATATTATTGATAATTACCCCCATCTTGGGACATTGTCGTCAGCGTTTTTAATGATTTTTAGCTTATTGTATTAAATTTGACTATAACATGATTATTATTTTAAGATAAGACTGCATAGTGTACAATGATCAATGTGACATATTTATGTATATATAACAGCTAGTGTACAACAGTGTATATGTTATGACAGATAAATTAATAATTTGATTGTATACAATTAATATAAAATACATATTATACATTTTTCATTGATAAATTTAAGATGCGTAATGCAAACCATTGGACATATTGCGTCATAGTTCATAAGTATTTCTTTCTTTTACATAAGTTTTGATAACAAAATTTAACANAGCGACGTCATGATGCACCAGCCTAAGAAAAAATTATTTTTGATTGGTAGAAAAAGTTATTTTTTTATTAGGAATTATTACAACTGAAATAAAAATAATTGGTATAATATATAAGTTTCTAAATGGCCAATTATAAACTGCGATTGCTCTAGTGGCATCACGAGAGTACCTACTGTTTGAACGAACGCCCGGTTATAATGTGCGGGTTAGTTAACGTCCGGTTGGGTTGTCTAATTATGCCGGAGAAAGAAATAGGGAGTGGACTGTATATAAAATTGAGGATGATACTTACACTAAATAAAATTATACGAATTACAAGACAAGGAGTTATATATTAAAGTAAAAACATATATATATAAACTATCATAGAATTGTGGTTTGGGGGGGGGTGTCACTTAATACTAAAGCGGCCAACAAGGCATCTCTGAACAAAATAGATAAAATATAATATAATAATTACAAACAAAACTTAACTGTGTAACGTACAACAGATGAAAGATGACTGATGACGGTGAGAAATGAACAGTTGGAATACTTTACATTAAAATGTTGAAGACTACAAGGGTAGTCAATACAAACGGAGGCACTTGTTATGTACACGAAGGGCGCACAATGGCATAGACTGGTATAGCAATCCTATACACACGTCGAATCACCAGGGTGGTTAATCCATTAAAGCGACTATGAGCTAGGTGCACCATAGAAGCACGTAGCAATGGTGGCGAGAACGCAAAACTCACCAAAAGAACGCAAAAGGGACCGATAATAGTTCGGCGAGACACAATAATGACGTACACTAGCATCCAACGCAGTGACGAATCCATCGCTCAACCGGTGGTGGCAGCGCGAGTAGCGCTATCAGTCAAAACAAAATCTAAGAAAAACGCCCTCTTGTGATGCGTATCAAACACCTACAATAAAAAAAACAATTCTAATGTACACTATTAGAGGATACAATCAATTATTTAACCTTGTTAGTTAATTATAATTTTAATTATGAAATTAAAATAGCAATTTATCATAAACCATTGGTTTGTTTCAAGAACATTTTTTTGCAAAAGTAGTCTACTTCATTTTAATATACATTTTGAATGTATATTAAAAACTACAAAATTCTTTCTGAAAATATTTAAGCTAACAAAAATGAGTATCTAAATTTAACAATGGATTTTTACAGTTATAAGATAAGAGACAAGTAATTAACATAATTTTTCAGGTGAACGTAATAATCTTAAAATAATTTTATAGAACATAAATTAAAATATACAGATTGGTTTATTAAGAGTAATGCTTTTGAGAGAACTAACAAAAACAATACAAATAGTAGCAGATGTTTTTGTTGTTTTGAAATACGATTGTTGTGTTCGAGGAATAGTTGTTTATCTGTTCACGTATGAGCGTCAAAACATGCCGACCCGTTTGTATAACTATTTGTTTTGAAGGACTGTGGTGGTTCAAACACTTGTTGATAACGTGTATGTGATTGTCGTGTGGTGATTCAGAATAATAATACAAACCATTTCCCGGGACTCGGTTGTTAAATANAAACCATTTCATGGGACCCGGTTGTTAAATGAAACGGTCGCTGCAGTATGATAGTGATATATTACCGTACCTGCCTAGCGGTTTTATCGAAACAATTCAACGAGTGTGTTCGCGGCATTGTTGCAGCTCAAAGCTGTCGGTGCATAGATAGATACTGTAATCGCTAGAAATCGACTTGTACCGTGTTTAAAGATACACAGAAAGTGGGAATCTCCTATTTCGCGCCGTGGATAGTATCTATATGACCGGGTGGGAAATGCACTGCGCTCAACAGTAAACCAAAAGTTTAAAATAAACCGTAGCACAGAAGCGGATAAGGAAACCTAGCTGTCTCTTTTAATAATAAATTAGATTAATCAATGAAGAAAATGTTTTAAAATAAAATTGAGCGTTATTAAAAATTAAAAACTAAGGAGCTGGTATCAATTTAGATTTATTTTTTTTAGTTTATTATTTAGTAATCAACAAACACATTTAATATTTACGATTTAAAAAAAAAATTATATACAGAATGATTATTTCATCATAACCAACTCGATTATTTACAAAATATAAATAATTTTACTATAATGTGTTTTTTTTGTGTCTGTTACCACTTTTTCTCAGCTATCATCGAACCGATTTCTTTCAATGATACGTCAAAAGATCACAAATCATATCTACTCGAAGAAATTGGAAAAATTTCCCTCGTTCCCCATAAATGAGGGAAATCTCCAAAAAAATTACAAATTTAAAAAACACTAATTTTCGAATTTTTTTTACTTATAACTTCTATAACATTTTTAAAAATGATTAAATAAATACAATTTTTTTTATAGATTTATGAGATTTATACCTATCATTTGGAATATTTTTTTTATAAATCTGACCCATTACCTGTCCACAAGTTAGGATTCAAAATGACAACTTTTTCACAAAAAATTAACTTTTGATAGTATTCCGTAAACTGACACTTTTATATATATCTTAAATTAAAACAAATGTAATATACTTTATTATGGAAAAAAAATTTTGGATTTTGTCTTCACGGTGAAAATGCTACCGTATGATATTTTTCTGTTAAAATTTTCGATTTTGTATTTTATTTTATTTTAAAATACCTAAATAAGGAAATAGGAGATCATGTAGCTTTTGGAATAATCCACCAATTTTTTGTAGTATAATTATTAACACATGTACTAAATATTACATATATATGAATAAAGCAAAAAATCATCCAAGGAATGTTTCCCTTTTAGGGCAATGAAAATAACTATTAATCAACACATGTTTCAAACCAGTCCCCTAAAATTTATTAACTACGCCCACGGCAGAGTTTCTATCACAATTAACCAATCACAAATAATTATCCAACATCTTAGGAATTTCAATAGAGATCGCTGGCTTACTTCATCCGGCGTATAAAAAGCCATTTTTTCTCGTAAAAAAGGATTGTTCTCTCCTCTCTCGTGGCTCTGCTCTCGTTCTCTCACAGTTCTCTTAGCTCTATCATTACTCTCAACCCTTTTTGGCGGTTGATGGTCAATATTCTCTTACATGGAATCTACGTCAGTATAAGTAAATATTTTGTCTCTGCGACTTAGTTTTTTTATATATATCATCCTAAGTGGTGAATATTGTCTTAGATGATTTATTAATATTTTACCCAGGAAGAAGTTTTTATTTATTTTTATTATCACCTAATGTCCTCACGACAAAAAAATATAATCTTTATTTTTATATAAAGGTTTTAAATATTATTGTGTCCTTTATTTCTGGACAGCCTCAAATGTGCCGAAAAGAGTGAAGAAGTATAATTTTATTTATACAGGCATAATAGCCTCATACATTATCGTATATTCATAATAAAGCTTATTGTGCTGTACATTTATGAACAGCCTTGAATGTGCCGAACTAAATGAAGAAGCATAATTTGTAATTAGAATTAATTAGTCTTAGTAGTAGTATTTTATGATTGTGTACTCGCCAGCCCTATGGGACTATGCCAAATTACCTCTCGGTAAAGTGTAGGCAGTTGAGGCACAGAGTAGTACTAAACTTATAAGAAGAGTATT